GAACGATACTTACGATTGGTTATTCGACCTTGCTAATCACTCACGTGGACTTAAAGTTATCACCAACATCACTTGATCATCGTCCACTTTTATCTCATCGCCCTTCTTATTGAGATATCCCTAACAGCATCACCTGTAGTTGCATCGCCCCATTATCGCCTCCATTAATATTAAATCCTTCGCTTCATAGTGTCATACTGTCTAATAGACCTCCGACATATAAACGACTCCCTTCGTTTCTCCAAGTTTATCATTATCTCCCGTACACCGTTGGGGTTAAATTGGCCTTCATTCCACGTAATTCTATTAAGCTCTCCCAACAACGGTTACACTACCCTAGTTAAATAAATTAGAATATGTTACTGTAAGACTCTCGCTATCGCTATTGCAGTATTACAGTATATATCGATATTATGAAAATTGTTTGTGTCATAGACAAAAGCACGTTATTAGAGATCATCAGTTGTATCCAATCAGAGACATGATTTACCGATGGCGAATAGAAACTTGGGGAAATTAGTAAATACTTTAATTTCGTACGATCATCACGTGATCATAAACCAAGCACAGATTATAATTTCGCGCTAGTCACCCTACCATACTGTGAGAAATTCTTAAATTCATATTTTTCTTTGAAAATTCGCAAGATTTCTATTTCTCTCGAATAGTACCCATATATAATACAATAATATTAGCCAAATTAAATATTTTTCAATTTATAATTTTGATCTAAAGACCTATATAAATAATTAGCAATATCATATTGTTATTACAATTTAGATTTAATTGAAGTTTATTTGTAATCAGGAGAAAAAGCTTCTCGAATACACAATTCTACTATTGTTTTCACAATTATACAAAAATACCAACAATTTATGAACAAAATTTAGCCTTAAAAAATATAATTATGTTTGCACAAAGAAAAACAAAAAACATGACTTTTTTTGACATTTCTTTTAAATATTAAGAAAACATAAATAATCAACATGCTAATTTGATAACCTTCATTATCTATTATTGAAAAAAAGCTATTATTGTATGTATACTCTTATAAAAAAAAGGTATATTAATTATTTACCTTTTAGATTATTACCACTCATTATCGTACAAGTACATGAGCAATTCTCTCATTACTTGTTTGTTGCCTTGATTCTTGAAAGCAAGATTTAAAGCTTTTGTGAATGAATCATAACTTGTTTCTTTATACACTCCTTCATGATCGGAACAAGCGAATAACCAGTTCTTCATATGCTCAGTAGTATAACACCTTCCACATCGTAAACGAGCACGGTTAGATATTTCCATCCTTCCTGAATCGGCTGCATGAACCCAATAAGTTATTTGTGTATTTGAACAAGTGGCTGCCGGGCAGGATACATGTAAGTCTATAAACGTTTCACTCATCGCACTTATTTTTAATAATAATTCAGATTTAATTATTATATAGATATGAGTAAAATCTGGTTTAAATTTGAAATCTTTATATAAAAATTTAGTCGTTATTCAGTGTAAGAGGCATTTACTTTAGAAATGAGTTCGCTAATCTTTTTTAAACTATCTTAATTTGGTTTTATTAGATGATAAAACGTTATTAGAATTGGCCATCACGCAAAATGAACAATTTAAAATTTTGCTCATTGTATAGATAATGTTGAGTCATTAAATCTTTTACAAATTGAGTCGTTCATATAGACAAAGATCTTGCTTATTGTATAAGTTTTTTTAAATAAACCATTATTGCAATTGAATTATTCTTAGATATCACACATCTTTGAAGCACTTTTACATAAGGAGTTATGATACCAATGCGTATGTATCAGGGACCCCGGACGTTGGTAGCAAAAATAGTTAGCAAAAATAGACAGCAAAAATAGTTAGCAAAACTAGTTAGCAAAAATAGCTAGTGAAATTAGTGAATTTAGCAAAATAGCTTATTATAAATTTATATTTATTAAATATAAATTTTAATGTAATCATATTTTTCTTCTGCGAGTTCTTTATCTATCATTTCAATGAATTCTCCGGTCATCATCTAAAATATGTTCAAGAACAAAGAAAATAATATGTTTAGTGCAAAAGTAGCAAATTTCGCATCTTAACACAATACAATTGTTGCTAGCTATTTTGCTAAAAAATAGCGCTATTTAGATGCTACAAAAATCCGAGGACTCTGGTATGTATACGAACCGGAATCATAACAATCTGCATTTACAGACTGTATATGTACGTATATATGTATATACCGTAGATCTTACCTATTTTCTCAGCCGAGTACATTTCTATTTTAGTACACAATGAATATACTTTTTTCCATGAAAATAGACTTAATAATGGTTTACTATGATTGGCTACAGATTTTCACTCTCATGCACTCATATATAATAGAAGGTGCTTTTAAATGATGTGTAGTTCGGAGATTCAACTGAATAAAGCAAACTTATTGTTTCTTGTGATATTTACTCATGATAAATACACAAAAATACACTTTACTCCTTTACGCCATTTTCATTAATCTTTAAAGATCATTTTTGACGCGCATGATTCTAACAATTTGGTATAATTAACATTTGGTTAAGAACTCAGTTAAACTAAAAAAAGTCAAGCATTGTCTTTTCATATAATTTTTCATTTGTGCGTTGATTTAAAGATAAGCCAAAAAAGAAGACGGTTCTTACTTCTTGAAGGCTTTATTATTATGCATTTTATGTTTTATTTGCAAAGAATCTAATGTGATTTCATTAACAGTAATGATATTCTGTGCCTCTAATAGCATGTAATTATATCTACGGTTCTTTTAAAAAAGCACCGAATTCTATACAACTTTTTTTTTCGGCACACTCAGTTTAGATAATTTATTCTGAGAAAATTTTACTTTAAAGTTGTTCATCCGTTAAATATATACTGTAAATAAAGGTCATTAAAAAAAAAAATGTCCCAACACCAGCAACGAAACGAAAACAGTGCATGGCGTCCATATCAGCAACGGAACGAAAACAGTGGATGGCATTCATCTCAGCAACAGAATGAAAACAGTGGATGGCATCCATATCAGCAACGGAATGAAAACAGTGGATGGTATCCATACCAGCAACGGAACGAAAACAGTGGATGGCATCCATATCAGCAACAGAATGAAGACAACCAATACCAGCAATACAATGAAAATAGCGGATTGTACACATATTCGCAACAAAATGAAAATAATAAAAGAATGTACAGACAACAAATTCAAAAGCAAGAGGTCGTGACTGCTTATGACAGAAAAGTAACTCATGAGATCTTTTATGATACTATGGAATTCCTGGAAAAATATATTGAGATAGCTGGTTATTATCCTGATTGGAATGCAAGGAGGCAATTTCCTAATAATAATGTTAAAAGAACTATCGACGGACCAGAAGACGCTGAAGAATGTTTTTCGACTGTATTGCTTGGACTTAAAAATACAATTAAACGTAAACCTCCTTTTATTCAAGAAGAAATTAAACAAGAGTACAACCGTTGGATTAGCTCCACTGGAATCAACGAAAATAATTGTCCTGAAAGATTACAGCTTATTTTATTTGGATTTAATGAAATATTAGAAGGTAGAAGTGAAAAGTTCGATAAAGATTTGAAAAATTGCAAACAAACCCTTGATCATAATTCTTCTGAATATGCAAAAGAATTAAACAAAACTTTTGCGGCTGTTCAAGCTCCACTACGAAATGAAAGGAAAATAGCAGAGTCTCTCGAGGGTAAAAAGTATAATGGAATTGATATTAAAAATAAGTTTAACGGTAACATAGAACAAGGTCAAGGAGTTCTTAACAAAATTGCTAGTGCTGCTGGCAATTTTCATGAAAATTTCTACTTTTTTCCGCAAGAGGATCGAAAAGAGGTAATGATCTAATCTTAATAAATATTTTAAATACAAGTCAGATATTGCAACTTTTTTTAACTGAATGGTTTCGTTTTCAATCATTTAGCACATTGTCAATAATAATCAACTAACTGATAGTGACATGATTAATTAAATTACAGTCGTTTTCCCTAATCACACATTTGGGGCGTATGGTAAATTTTTTTTAAAAATGTGCTTATAAAGAAGTGGTGCTTGTATAGAGGTTTTTTTCCTTATAAATTAAATCATAGTTTGACCTAAACATAAATGTGATTACATATGATGTGATTATATGGGAGGTGACTATGCGGAAGGTCGATTGTGCAAAATTTAGATTTATTTGTCTTTTTTGATACTTCAAATTCTAAGTTGTTAACTTTCTTGGTCGTTACACTCTTGTTTTTCATAATACAACTTAAATTATGAGATTTATTATTTTTTTTGTTATTTTTTTAACATTAATTTCGTATTCAAATATGATCAACAAACGGGTCTTTCATCGCAATTTAAACAAATTTTCTCCTGAGAAAAATAATCACATCACTTTACTTGAAAATAAAAAAATAAACTTGTATCTTTTCACAGACAAAATTTATACAGTACGGGACAGTAAAAGACATCCAATCTATACATATAGACGCCAATTTTGGATGCTTATATAATCAATTCTGATTGGCTAATTTTGTGTAATTGATTCTGATTGGTTAAAAATATATATGTGTTTTCATTTTTTCTATATTAAACGCCAATTTTTTAACCTCACATAAACTTTAATCCTTTATAACTTTTCAAAACAAAGAGTAAAAAAATCCTCTGACAGAAATGTAGTTTATATAAAAATCTATCAATTTGTCAGAGGGCTTTTTTGATTTAGCTTGTTTTAAAAAAGTTATAACACTTTAAAGTTTTTATTAATAAGTATTGGATGCATTTTACTGTCCGGTACTGTAGAAAGCAAGGTTCAAGGATATATATTGAGGAAGTTTGATTTACTATTTATATAATTTGTAACGCACTTGTAATATATACATTTTACAATTTGTTAAAATAAACATTACTAATATTTTGATATTGTTTATCATAAATATTTGTTCGCTTTTTTAGTCCGGGAATATGTCACATAAAGTGATAATTCATAATAAAAACATATGAATTTACTATAAACTTTAAGCCCACATTATTTAACTTCTTTTGCAAATATTAAAACAATAAATTAATTATTTAAATTATTTATCATCCAATAACCTAATAAATATATTTCAAAATATTGAAATTTTAAAGTCTAACATCAAATTTATAGAAAATGGAGCTATAGCATATGATGTTAATTAAAGATAGCTATAGGTAGTGAGTTTAATTAAAGATAGTTATAGGTAGTGAGTTTAATTAAAGATAGCTATAGATAGTGATTTCAATTAAATTTATGTTGTGATATCTTTAACAAAGAAATAAAATTTGGTTAAAAATTTATATATTTTTTTGCTTTTATAATATTAAAATTATAAATTATATGGGTGTGGTGACTTAGTGAAGTGGTTAAGTTGTTGTACCCAAGCAACATGTTGGCTAGATAGGGGTTCGAAACCCACTGGTGACGAATTTTGAAATTTTATCTGTATGATAGCTACTATCATTTCGTTGATTGGTTGAAATATCTCTATAATCTTGGTAGCACCAACAAAGATTGGGAGATTATAGAGCATTTGTGTAATATATGAGTTACATAAATAAGCTTTCAGATCATAGTAAACCCAGAAAACCAGGAAGGATGATAGATACTTGCTTGGCAAGACCTAAGTAGAGAGGTAGCACAAATCTTTAACAGTATTACCGAAAGATCGTTATTGGAAGAACTGGAAAAACTGAACAGAACTGAATTGTTTGGCAAGGCACTTCACCAACCAGGCTGCTGGAGGAGTAACCAGAGGAAAAGAACCCAACTGTGAGGACTAGGAGCAGGTCACAGCCCTTTCGAGCCATCTAAATTGGTAGTTTGGGATTGTCAGGATTAAAACTAGTGATAGTCTGTAAAGTGTATACCAGGTTTGGGTGAACTCTACAAGGGCAGAAGTAGGTAACGGTAGCAGCCTTGGCTTGCAAGTACTTGTCTTCAGACTCAGCGTAAATTACTGAAATCCAGGTTAGCCAGATTGTGGATATAAAAGGCTCTAGCAAGTTTACTTTGAGGATAAATTAGCTCTAGATCAGGTGCTTTCTATGGCAGGTATTGGTTCCTCATAAGGATATAGCAGCGCAGAGGGTTTAAATAAGTAATTCTCTAGTTGGATTATAGGTATAGCATCTAGTGTAGAACCTTCAGACGAACTACTTAAACAGGCAATCAAAAATTGTATGTGTGGCTAGTTGTATTCTCTAAAACTATATACCAAATGAGTAGCGGCTAACTTCGATCAGCTTAGTATATAAACTAATAAAAGCAACTGACCATGAGGTCACTTTGATATTAAAAAAAAAAAAAATTATAAATTATATCTTGTTATCTGTTATTATTATATATATATATATATTTCGAATATTTACAAAATTTGATCTAGAAAAGTTATGAAAACCAAGAAAGTAATTGAGAAGCTTGCCAATAAAATGATAAAGTGATCATTATTATAATATCAGATAGTTTTATGGGCCTGCATATTCTAATTTGGGTTTACCAACATTTCACTGACATATATTTTACTAAACAACTATTTTTTTGACAATTTTTTCTCTGACAAATCTATTTATTTGACAACTATTTCTTTGACAACCATTTTTTGACATAATTATTTTCTCTACAATTACTTTTCTGATATAAACTACTTCCCCAACAATGTCAGAAAAATAGTTGTTAGTAAAATGGTTGTCAAAGAAATAGTTTTGTCAGTAAAAAAAATTGTCAAAGAAATAGTTATCAGTGAATATGTATTAGTGAAATATTAGTAAACCTCTAATTTGTCATTTAGCTTGTATGATTAATAAAAGTTATTCAAATCATATAAAACTTTTAAAATAGATTTATTTTGTTATCTCAAGCAACGTGGCTTAAGTTATAACTATTAATTGACTTGGTAAATTTAGATCTTGTTGGTTTCATGTAATGTAAAGCTAAAAATTATTGTATAAACTTCATTACTGAAACTTGCAAATTAGCAACTTTAAAACTACTTTAAAATAATTATAAAATAACTATAAAATAACTATGTAGTTACTTTATAGTGGCTACAGTTTTATATTTATTATATGTTAACAATATGCCTACTATTATTAACTACTATATTACTACTATATTACTACTATTTTACTATACTTTTACTATATTTTATAAAAAATTTTTATAGTAAAAATATAGTAATTGTCTGGAGCAAAGTGGAGGACTATCTGTTTTTATGATAGCAAGTGATTATTTTAATCACATGAGAATTCTGTCCATCTGGTTCTGTGATGCTGATTGGTCGATCATAGAATGATTACTAAATGATCGATAAATTTTTGTAGCTCCAGATATACAATGTTTCGCATTTTCTAGTATAGTAGTAATATAGTAGTCACTAATAATAAATTATAGTAAAAATATAGTAAAATAGTAGTAGCATAGTAGTAATATAGTAGTCAATAGTAGTAGACATATTGCTAACATATAGTAAATATAAAACTATAGTCACTACAAAGTAACTACATAGTTATTTTATAGTTATTTTATAATTATTTTAAAGTAGTTTTAAAGTTGCTAATTTGCAAGTTTCAGCAATATTATTAATTTTGTACTGTTTTTAAATTAAGCACTAGATATTAACTTTTTGCATAGTATCAAAAAAATAAAAACTCTTTATATTTTATTTTTTCTTTGTCTATGAATTAGTAATAGAAGTTTCTATTTATTAATTATGAATTGTTAATGATAAAAAATTAAAATTTAATTAATGATTTAACAATTTCTAAGCAATTAACAAAAGAATATCTTGTAGCAAATGATTCATTTGATGATTTTTTTAAATTTGCAGGCTTTCTATAAAATTATTAGCCACATCAATTAAACAATAACAGATTATTTAGTTCAACAGATACACTTTGTAGAGCTATTACAGTATTAGTAAAAAATGCATAATTTTTTATTGCTATAAATTTATTTTTACACTTATTAGAATATATAAAAATATTAAAAATATGATTAATTGTTGATTATATTATTTTATCAATCCTTTCTATTCATTTTGGATAATTCAATCATTAATTAATAAAAATGAATTATTAATTTAACAATTTGCTACTAACATTAAAAAATAGAAATTTCTATTGCTACTTTGAATCTATAATAGAGTGCTCAAATATATATAATTTCAGATATTATTATTATTAAACAATAAAAAATCTTTAGAATAGCATAAGCCTTAGGTACTTTCAACTAAAGAAGTGACTTAATAGAACCTAACTATATCCTATTAAACTTGTATAAATAATCATGTTTCAAAAATCTCTGATATGATTAGACAATCATTGTTATTTCATCAACACAACTCTCAAAAAATATCTAAATTTTTATTAATTTCTAAAAAATATCTTTCTTATACTGCAATTTTGAATTTCGTTTTTGACAAGCATTTAAGTAATCAGCAACTTTTGCAATACACTTGGAATTGTATGGTCAAAAATAATATTAAAACAAAAGTAGAATCTATATAATAATAATTGTTATTAGTGTTACAATTCAATTAAATTTTAGAAGCTCAATTATATAACTTTTGTTTAAGAAATACTAAGTTGGTATAATAATTTGTATTATACAAACTCTATCATCAGCAAAATATATATATGAAAATTTTTGAAAAAATTTGTGTGCCAAAATTTTTCAAAAAAATTACGTTTATCGCAAAAAATTTCAAAATTTATGATTTTCGAAAATTTTCAAAAAAAATTTCGAAATATTGTGAAAAAAATTGCAAAAAATTTCAAAATAAATTTGGAAATAACAATTCCTAAATTTGTGAAAAATTGTGAAATATTTTAAAAATTTT